CATAAAATTAACAGGAAGAAGGAATGAGGCTCAGATCACTCTTGGTGGATAAAGGAAATATATTTATTTATTTAAGAGACAGGGTCTTGCTCTTTGGCCAAGGCTAGAGTGCAGTGGCCTGATCGCCGCTCCCTGCAACCTCGACCTTCTGGGCTCAAGCTATCCTCCTCGCTCAGCCTCTCTCGTTCAACTAGGACCTCAGACGTGTATCATCACCCCCAGCTAACTCTTTAATTTTTAGTAGAGATGGGGTTCTCCCTATGTTGCCCTGACTGGTCTCAAACTCCCGGGTTCAAGTGGCCCTCCCGCCTCAGCCTACCACAGTGCTGGGATTACATGCGTGAACCCCCATGCCTGGCAGGAAATCTCTTTAAATACAATTACAGGAAATTTGGAAACATTCGATGCTTATCAGGGATATTTGCAGATTTGGCAACTCACGTCTTTGGGAACCATCAGGTAAGTTAAGGAAAATTAAATATCTATGAGGAAAAAAGAAATCTGGAGAAAATTTTGCAACAGGTTTTGGGGAAAATCAAGGGGTAAACATAACAATGCATACACAGAAAATAAAGTTTCTATGCATGATGGATTCTTCCCAGTTGATGGAGAATATTTTGTATTTACAGTGGCACTAAGACGTTATGTCATGTGATTCTTTTTTCAGCAGTGGTCATATGACGGTGGTAGCCATGGCGTCACAGATAATAGGGACTGTCCAAGCTTGAAGTTTTACAAGGTGGATATGATAAGTGGTAAGGAATTTTGGATTAATCTAAATGAATTTTTTTTAGATAGGGTCTCATTCTGTGCTCAGGCTGGAGTGCAGCCGTGTGATCTCCGCTCACCACAGCCTCCACCTCCTGGGTTCAAAAGATTCTCCCACCTCAGCCCCCTGAGTAGCTGTGACTACAGGTGTGCACCACCATGCCCGGCTAATTTTTTTGTTTTTGTTTTGGTAGGGATGGGGTTTCACCATGTTGGCCAGGCTGGTCTTGAACTCCTGGCCTCAAGTGATCCACCCACCTCGGCCTCCCAAAGTGCTGAGATTATAGGCGTGAGCCACCGTGCCTGGCCTCTAAGGGAAATATTGAGGTCACAGACTGCAGAATCCAAGAGTGCTAGGAATCAGAGGAGAGAGAGGAAGGTGAAGATACGGAGGTCTGGAGTGATTCAAATATCCAAATCATAGATACCTGTTCCTCAAGGTGTGTTCTTCAAGAACAGGTATCTATGGTATGGGTGTTTGAATTAAAAATACTGGAAATCAGAAATTTATAGTGAGTGAATAAGTTTTCTGGTTTATTTATTTATTTATTTATTTAGAGACAGTCTCGCTCTGTCGCCCAGACTGGAATGCAGTGGTGCGATCTTGGCTCACTGCAACCTCCAGCTCCTGGGTTCAAGCGATTCTCCTGCCTCAGCCTCCCGAGTAGCTGGGATTACAGATGCACACCACCACACCCAGCTAATTTTTGTATTTTTTGTACAGATGCGCACCACCATGTTGGCCAGGCTGGTCTTGAACTCCTGACCTCAAGCGATTCGCCTGCCTCGGCCTTCCAAAGTGCTGGGATTACAGGCATAAGCCGCTGTGCCGGGCCTGAATTATTTATTTTTGAGCGTGGCCGTTTGGGTTGCTGAAAATGTCTGGGGTGTGGGATTAAGGCTCGAAGAGCAGAGCAGTTGATAATTTCATTATTGACTTACAAGCTGCAGGAACTGTGCAAACCAAGAGGTCAGTTGTTAACCAGATGAACAGTCAAGTAATGCATAAGAATGACAGGATTTGGGCTGGGCATGGTGGCCCATGCCTGTAATCCCAGCACTTTGGGAGGTCGAGGTGGGAGGATCATTGAGTTCAGGAGTTCCAGACCAGCCTGGACAAGGTGGTGAAACCTCGTCTCTACAAAAACCACAATTAGCCGGGCATGGTGATGCACGCCTGTAATCCCAGCTACTCGGGAGGCTCAGGCGGGTGGATCACTTGAGCCTGGGGAGGTAAAGGCTGCAGTGAGCTGTGATTGCACCGCTGCACTCCAGCCCGAGTGACGGAGTGGGACCAAAAAGAAAAGAAAACAAAACAAAACAAAAGGCAAGATTTGAGATTTAGTAAAAGACTGCCATGTGCATCATGAGAGGGAGTATCAGGACTTGAGCATTTAAGAGTGACAAGGGCAGAAAGAGAATAAAATAGTACTCAAACAAGGAGGGGGTTTGCAGGATGATGAAGGAGAATTTTGACCTTGAACTTTCTGTGCTGACTCAAATCTGCCTGACGATGTCCCAGGAAGCAGGTCAGACCTATCTCCAGAGGGAGAGAGGAAGGATGAAAGTCCAAAACAGCTGAGATCCTTGTCCTGAGAAGACAGGCTTCATTCATCAATTTCACCCCATTTCATGATTTATTTTAATAGTGTAAGAGGAAAAGAAGCGTGATGGGCAAGAGTTCACAGAGGAAGCAACGTGACTGTGTAAACCAATGCAAATCAAAGCCTGGCTTGAACACCTCAATCCCTCTGAGAATGTCCAATTACACATTCAAGAGTCCAGTTACGAGAATTACACCCCATCCTGGCAATGAGGTCAGATACCATCAATGGGAGGAGAGCTTGGAGAAGCCTCAGCAGGTCTGCTGGCAGAAGAGACTGCAAGGACTGCAGGCTTACAGCAGCGCAGGGGAACTTTTAAGCACTTTGGATCTTGCCAATACTTTGCAAAAACTTGTCCCTAGTTACACAGGTGGATCTCTGCTGGGGGATCTTGCCGGTGGTCTGGAGCACTCCTGCCCCATGCCCCACCTTGCCTGCTCTTCAGATGTGGTGGAGATAATTCCCAGAGAGGGAGTGGGTATCTCGCAGCTCCTCTGCCAACAATTTCTGGTCACCGAGGAAGATATCAGGAAACAGGAATGGAAAGTGAAGACAGTCAGAGAGCGACTCGCAATAGCATTGATTGCGGATGGACTCGCTAATGAGGCGGAGAAAGTGAGAGGCCAAGAAGGCTGTCCTGAAAAAAGCTATGAAAAAAAGAGAAGATAGTGCAGATGAAATAAAGCGTAATCCTTTATTAACATCTCTTTACAGTGTTCACAATGAGGTTTTT